GCCCAAAAAATTGGTGAGCTTTGAGAGATTATTGCCAAATAGGCCCAAGTGAATTCTATTAAACGGGCCCATAAGAAAGCCAACAAATTAGGTCGAAAAAGACCCATCAAATAGATATCTCTAAAGAGAGTCCAACAAGCCCATCCGATGAGGCCCAGATCATACAGGCGTCCGAGGAGGCTAACCACTACTTTCAGAAGAGATAAAACACTCGGAGGAGATCCATTCTCCGAGGTATTGGCTTAGCCTTGAAAGGGTTTGGAACCACAAACCTAGAGACCTATTTGAGCTCGGACTCAAAAGGGTTTGGAACCACAAACCTAGAGACTTATTTGAGCTTGAACTCAAAAGGGTTTGGACCCACTAACCTAGAGATCTGAAGCACTTGACTGCAAACGTATTCGAACGCAATCTAGAAGTCGCTCCATTAATGAGTCCCAAAACACTTACGGGCTCGGAGCTTTTCAGGATCTACGACCAGAACCATGGGCGTAACGAAGTCCAAACCAAGGACCCGATCTCGAGGACGGTGAATGGAGATAAATCCACTCTTCAGTTAAACTAGCTTATACCCGAGTCGAGTTGGCACAATCTAGGGGGTCCGTAAGACTCAGCAATATTTGTGGCAAGGCATTCTCTTGAACTACCCTTGACCTTTCTGCAGCAGGCCATCCTTGGGGACTACCTCTGACCCCTTGGGATGATTGGGGATCATTGGTTAGGTGTGGCTAAGAAGAAGGGTTCGCCGAGAGGTTAATCTCCTCTTCGGAGTTTTCCTTATCCTCGGAGAGGTCACCTCCTCGAACAAGGTAGTTAAAGGGAATATTCCCCATGTGCCTTGCACATGGGCTTCATCCTACATCATGAGGTGCCTATAAATAGCACCCACCCATAGCTTTACAAGGAATGGATTTTGGAGAGATATTTTTTAGAAGAGAACTAATTTCCCTTCTCCATTATCTACCTTGAGAGTGAAAGTGGGAGATCTATGGGAGCGCCTTGCCATTATTCTCTCTCTAACTACTTTGCCTTCTTCTTCACCCAATCCCTTATCTCCATCATCTCTTTGTTATTGTATTCCTAGTTGTGACTGTTAAACAATCTAAGCCTCTCATCATTTCTAGAGAATTCAAGTTTTCTTTAAAGGTCTTCGAATTTTTTGACAACATTCTTGAACCCTTTCATACATGGTCAAATTCATTATTTAAAAAATATATATATCTCTTAAAGGGCCATGTAAGATGTTAAGATTAAGTCTCCCACCACAACACCCAACAGTGTTGACTCATCAGTTTGGCATTCTATAATAAGTGGTCAAAAAGGATTGAAAATACCAAACGTAACAAGTGGACTGAGGACACAATGTCTAGAATGTAAAGAACAAGTAAAATCATAGAATTAGTCAAAATGGCAATAAGCAAAGCAATGTAACCCATCATGGAGTACGAGCAGCATTAATTATAGCTGCAAATTGTTTTATAATTATGATAAGAACCAATCCATCACTTCACATCATAGGACTATTTCACTTCGGAATGAAAACAAATTTCTAATATTTCTACTTAGCTGCTTACATGATTTTTTTGAAAAACAAGTATATAAAGCATAGTAAGATAAAATATGTTTTTTTTTTCCCATTTAAAAGGCAAGAGCTGCCACACACATCCCCTCCCCCCCCCCCCCCCCCCCTCCCCCCACAAACACCCAACAAAAGAGAGGGGTTGGGGGTTATCAAAATTAACATCATATACTAGGGATTTCTTGTTAAGAAGAAGGTTATGACCAATCCAAATGCAATCTCTATAACCTAATCTCCCTCCAAGGATTGGGCCTTCCAGTCATTCATCACCATTGTTACCTATGCTATAGCAATTCGAGTTTTGACCCGTTATCTATTGTATTCCAGAATCAAGTTTGATGCTTTCATATTGTTTTTTGTCTCTTGTTCCTCTTGTATCCCTTTAGAATTGGCTTTCGGGTTGTGGTTGTGCATTTGGGATAGGTTGATTGCTTGTTTTTCAAAACCTTTATCGTCCAGATTTCGGCTCTTCCGCTCGAGGCGCATTCTTGCGCTCGCGCGGGCTTCACAGATTTTGCCTCTCCGCTCGAGCGTCTATTCTTACACTCGAGTGAGATTCGACAACTCTCAGCATTTTTTTGCAGGTCTACAGATGCTGGGAGAATGCATTGGACACTCGAGCGGACTGCGTGTATTTTAGTCTAAGAAGATGACATTTTGAATCACTTTTTCATATCTCCCTCTCTCTAAAACTTTCCAAAAAGCTTGTTCTTGAGCTTCTCTCTCAACAATTCACCTTCTCTCTTGGGTTTCATCTAGATCCATCCATCTTTTCACCCTAGTGCCTTTGAGAAAAAGGTAGAGCTCATCAAGATCTACATTTTGATCCATACAGAAGTGGGTTTTGGTGTCATTGGAGTTTTCCTCTTGTGTGGCTCATCTTCTTCCTTTGAGGTAAGGATTCTTTCTACACTTTCATATGATATTTAGCTTAGATATTGTCTCTTGTGTAATAATGGTGTGATTTGGGGATGTTTAAACCTAGGGTTTGGGCACAAAAAATGGAAAGAGTGGTTTTAAGTGAAGATGAAATAAATACTTGTGGGGTTTGAAAATGATGTTGTGTTATATCTAATTTGATAATTTTGGCACTTGGTTAATATTTGAGAAAAATGAGGAAATTACCCTAATTGGATCAAACTATTACTTTGTACAAATAATGTAAATTGTTATTGAAATTGTGGAATTGGATGATCTTTGATATAAATGGTGGAATGGAACAAGTATTATTTCACATCTTTGGAAGTTTTAAATAAACTATCTGTTGAGAATAAATATATGTTTAGAGATAAATTATATTGGGCCATTGGTGGAGGATAGCTTTGATTGTTATAGAAATTGCATGTGGATTAGGTGAATTGAAACTAATCTTTTGATGGTTGTCATTGAATTTGGCCGTGATTATATACATTGTATATGTATGTTTGTTGAGAATGGAAAGGGGATGTGCTCCATGTTTGATTATATGTTTAAATACATTGCATATATATGGATGATTGTTTGGGAGGAGAAAGGGGATGGACTCTATTATAATTAAGTTGGCCAGAGTGTCTTAGGTGAAAGTTCCGAAATTATACATGGGTGCCTAGCCCGCAGATGAAATATCCGTAAAATGGCAATTGTAATGTGTGTACCGCCTACGTTTACATAGGTCCCGTTTGACGGCTGCCCACGGACGAAATATCTGTGAAATAGAAGTTTGAAGTGTTTTGCGTATGTGTTGTGTGAATTGGAAGTAATTGAGTTGTAGTCCCAGTTCGGTTGTTATGAAACAATGAAATGACTCATGAATTGAGAAAGATAAGTAATCGAAATGTAAATTGAAAGTGAATGGATAAAGACTTGAAATTGATACCTTACGAGTATATAATGTTGAAAATTTTTTTACCACATGCATTGTTTACGCACTTGTACTTATACCTTTGCTAAGTTTCATATATTGTCTTAGATGATTTCTACTGGGCTGTGGCTCACTCTATTTGGAAATAACATTTTCAAGTAATGATGGCATGCCTCCTCCATGGCAATAGCATGGGAGTGATCTTTGGGAAGCAAGAGCTTCATGTTTTGTTTATTTTTGTATAGCCTAGGGCTAAATATGTATTGAGCGAAGCTCATTTAGTTGTAACCAAGTCAAGGCTTGGAAAAGTGTAAGCCAATAGGACATTTATTTATATTCAACTCTTTTGTATCTTTAACTTCATGCAATGAAAGGACTATTTACTCTGATGTATGCGATTATTAATGTATGTTTTGGGTTGTATCTAGTATGTATTTTGGGAGCGTTACATATGCCAAATGACCAAAAGCAATGAGGTATAATTTTCAATGATAATATAAATCAAGCAATAATGTTAAAAAAATGTATGTGATAGAGATTGACAGAGATGTCATAAGGACTAACCCATGTCTAAATAAAGGAGATGTCATTAGAAATATGTATATATATTATTAATTGGTAAAAAATAATATATCACTTGATTTATTAAGTTAAAACACAGAGCATCAAAAATTCACTCATAATTAATTTACCCTATCTGCATATACTTTAATACATTGAGTAAATAGTAGGAACAAAATGCATATTGGGCTCAACAATAGGCAATAGTGGCAAATTTCATAATCACATCAGTTCTATTTGATTGTAGGAATGTTAGATTCTAATAAGCAACTAAATTAAACCTTATATATTAATATGCAAAATTGATGATTGATAGGGTTTTGAAAAATTAGGGAAAACAAAGAGAAGAAATCATTGATGAATATAAACATCGAGAGAAGGAGGGAGAGAGAGAGAGAGAGAGAGAGGATTTCTGAGCAAGAAGAGTATGAGAAAGACGAGTGGCAAGGTGAAGAAAAAGTGTATGAGAGAGAGAGAGAGAGAGAGAGAGAAAAAGAGAGATATAAATCCCTTACCTAGATGACAGTAGCAACGCAAAGACAGACAGTGGCGAGGTGAAGACAGACGGCGGTGCTGACGGTGGAGAATAAAGGATGGCAGGCTGCAGTGCTGATGATGAAAAGGCAAGGTGAGTAGCGTGATTTAGAGGGCACATTCAATTAGGTGCAATATTTGTGAAATATAGATTATGAGGGTTTGAAACAGTTTTATTTTTTTTCCCTGCAATAGTATTGGTCGGCAAAGTTACACTGCAAATCAAAACAACGTCGTTTTGACATCTGCAACCAAATTCCATTAGTCACTAAAAGATTTGAGTCTCCCGCCCAATTTTTCACCTTCATACATATATTTTTGGCGACTAATATTTCAAATTAGTCGTAGAAAATCACTTTTGTGCAACTAAATCACTTTAGTCAGTAAAAGTCAGAACTTTTAATTACTAATTTCAAATTAGTTGCAGAAACGTGATTTTTTTGCGACCAAAATTTTGTTGGTCGGCAAAAGTATAATTTCCTGTAGTGATGCATGTGACTGAGGAAATCTTAAAGCCAAATCCAAACATAGCTGCCCAGATGACACCATCTCTTAACACACGCCTAGATATAAAAATTACAAAAATACCCAAACTCGGTGCAAAAGCTGCATTAAAGGCCATCAAAGATTGGGGGCAACACAAATCAAGCATTACACACCTTGTATTTCACTCAACTTTGGGCACAATAATGCCAGGTTTGGACTATCAACTCATCAATTTCCTTGGGCTTGACTCCTCTGTGAAGAGGTTCATGTTGTACCACTTGGGTTTCTATGGCGGTGGAATTGTCCTTCGACTAGCTAATGATCTAGCTGAGAACAACAATGGTGCTCGAGTTCTAGTAGTTTGCTTTGAAGTCATGGTCAATGCTTTTCGCGGTCCTTCGCATGCCCATTTGGATATTCTTGTGGGCTATGCAATCTTTGGCGATGGTGCTGCTGCTGCCATAGTTGGTGCGAATCCCAATATCTTGATCGAATGTTCATTTTTCAAGATTATTTCTGTGAATCAAACAATTTTACCAGAGTCAGATGATGCGATGGGAGGGCGGTTACGTGAAGTTGGCCTGATTTATTACTTGTCGAAGAAGTTATCTAGTAAAGTCGCGAATAATATTGAGAAGTGTTTGGTTGACGCTTTTAGTCCTCTTGAGATTAGCGATTGGAACTCGTTGTTTTGGGTGGTTCATCCTGGTGGTCGAAAAATTCTAGACGAAATTGAGGCGATACTTGAGCTGAATGAGGAGAAACTGAAAATGAGCAAAAAGGTGTTGAGTAAGTATGGAAACATGTGGAGTTCAAGTATGATATTTGTTTTGGATGAGATGAGAAAAAGCTTAGTTGGTAAAGGAAGCACCACCACTGGTGAAGGATTTGAGTATGGTGTTCTTCTTGGATTTGGACCAGGTGTAACTGTGGAGACTATTGTGTTGTATAGTGTCCCTATAACTTCATTCATTAATCAATCTTTCAGACAACAATCTTCTATTTTTATAATCAAAACTACTATTCTTACTTCACTTTACTCCAAATACACTTTCTTCTTTATCCTTATTATACACAGAAGTAATTATATATAATAAGAATAAGAAAGGGAGTATATTTAGAGTAAAGTGGAGTGAAAATAATAGCACCCTTTATAATCTCTATCTCCTTGTCTTAATATATTCTTAATCATTAGATTATGTGAGACAATGAAAAACAAATTTGAATTTAAATCTCTATCTCCACGTCTTAATACATTCTTTAATTTTAAAAAATTTAAAAATAATGTAATTGAGCGAATTTACTGCATACATGAATTATTATGCCAATCTGAACTCAAAGTGGAATAAAATTACATAATTTCTAAGGGATCAAAATGTTAATTTCTCTCATAAATATTTGAAATTGCATCAAACTTATCAAGAATTTGTAAAATTTGAGAGAAACTAGCCCCACCAGCCTCCTTCATCATGATAAGTTCGATTCTAAATTGCGCCAAAGGATGAATAGAATTGTCGAGTACAATTTACTTATTTTAAAAATTGAAGATGAATCATGTATTCAAAAATTCATATAAAATTGGACCAAACCATCTTATAGTTTTTTCAATTTTTTGGCTCAACGTTAAAATTGTCCAACAAAAAATCCAATCAAAGCATACTGTATTCGTATGTTTTATTTGAAAAAAAAAAAAAAAAAAAAAAAAAGAGCAAACACTACTACTGTTCAATCTAAAAAGAAGAAGAAAAGAAAGAAAGAAAGAAAGAAGAAGAAGCTTTTTCCTACCATACTACAAACACAAAATTTGACTAAAACATTAATTTTACTCACATATACCGTATGGTAAGTCCATCATAAAATATATTTATTCAAATTGGACGGCATATTTTATAAAGTTAGATTTTTCTCAAGTTTAAATCTAAATTTTAGCTAATTTGAGAGGTCTATGGGTCACACCACAACTCTCATTTCAATTATTTAAATAGTTAATTTTGTAAGGTCTTTTATGTATATCATTAATAAATAAAAATTAGAAAAATCTGATAATCATAATTTTTTTTTCCTTTTATTATCTTTGTCTAAATAAAATATATGATCTATTTTTAGAACATATTTGTCATCCATGTTTTGAAAATTAATAGTATCAGCATCAGCCTCTCTACAATGGCTTTGAAGTTATTATAGAGAGCATCAACATCAGATATGTGATCCATCAAAATCGATATGCCCTTCATTCGTTTTGCCAACGCTACAGTTCCTCCCCTGATGAAACGAGCCACTGTTCATCACTACAACAAGCAAATTAAGTGTTACCGGATGTCTGTCCGGAAGTCCGATTGGACATCTGGCCGATCAACGGCATTTTTTTTTTTTTAAACTTGTTGGGCATTTCCTCCGGTTTTACCTTTATAAAGGAACATAGAAATTGTTTGGTTGGCAGCTCATCAATTTAATAAAAAAAATAAAAAATAACAAATACAATAAGAAAATAATTTTTTAATAGGATTGAGTTAGAATACAAAGTTTGATGCAGTGGGTACTAAAAATGTGACTAGCTAAAATAGAAAAATAGATTTTTAAGTTAATTTGACTAAGAATTTGATGAGACTGGTGTGGATGCTCTTACGCAAGTAATGAAAATATTATGATTATTAAATTAATATATATTTTTCATGAATAATTTGATTGAGTTTATTATAAAATGAACAATTTGGAACTCAAATTCTCCCAAATTCAGATTTAAACTTAAAATGGAAGGTCCTGGGCTAACGGGTCCGGCCACTAGGTCAAGCCAGGCTTCAAATAGAAGGTCTTGGGCTGGGCTCAGGCTTGGGCCGGGCCCACCTCAGGCGGGTTTTGGGCACCCGTGGACCTTAGGCCATTTTTACACCCTTACGCCAAAGGATGAATAGAATTGTTGAGTACAATTTACTTATTCTAAAAATTGAAGATGAATCATGTATTCAAAAATTTATATAAAATTGGACCAAACCATCATATAGGTTTTTTTTCAATTTTTTGGCTCAACGCTAATATTGTCCAACAAAAAATCCGATCAAAGTATACTGTATTCATATGTTTTATTTGAAGGAAAAAAAAAATAGAATCTTTTTCCTACCATACTACAAACACAAAATTTGACTAAAAATTAATTTTACTCACATATACAGCATGGTAAGTCCATCATAAAATATATTTATTCAAATTGGACGGCATATTTTCTAAAGTTGGATTCTTCCAAGAAATCTGAAATTTAGCGAATTTGAGAGGTCTATGGGTAGGGGTGTAAATCTGGCCTGGCCTGGCCCGGCTTGGCCAAGCCCATGTCGGGTCTCACGGGCTCCCCACCAAAATTCATGTCGGACCGGGCTAGCCCATGGGCCAAAAAATTAGGCCTAGGCCCAGGGGTTTTCAGACCGGCATGGTAGACTTCGGTCGAACTTGAGCGGGCCTAACCATTTTTTTTAATTTTTTAAAAAATTTTCTTTCAAATTTTTATTATTTTTCACTAAAAAAAACACTAGGCCTCAGGCGACCCGGGCTTTGAGTGGGCCTTAAGCAAGCTGATGGGCTGAGCCACGAGCTGGGCCGGCTTCAAAATGATGGCCCTGGCCCAGGCCCAGGGACTCGGGCTAGGCTAGAGTCCGGGCCCAAACGGGCCGGGCCCACCCCGAGCGACGGGTCATTTTTACACTCCTATCTGTGGATCACACCACAACTCTGATTTCGATTATTTAAATAGTTTATTTTGTAAAATCTTATGTGTATATCATTAATTAAAAAAATTAAAAATATCTGATAATCATAATTTTTTTTCCCTTTTATTGTGTTTGTCTAAGTAATATATATATATGGTAGTTCAAAATTTTGTGACTCAAATCACTTAAAACGACGTCGTTTTATACTCATTTACACTCAAAACAACGTCGTTTTAAATGATTTGAGTAATTTGAATCATAAAATTTTGAGATACCTAACATTGTTATTTTTAGAACATATTTGTCATCCATGTTTTAATAAAAATATTGTAATTATTAAATTAATATATTCTTTTTATGAATAATTTACACTGAGTTTATTATAAAATGAACAGTTTGGAGGTCAAATTTTCTAAGGGTTGGTTTGGCATAAACTAAATAATATAAAAAGTCAAAAAGTCACTATCCTATTTAAGTCACATCATCTTATTTAAATCACATCACCTCTCTAACACATCACATCAAACCCAACCCTAACCCAACCCATATAAGCCAATAAGTCAAAAAGTATACTTTTTTAGAACATCTCAAACTAACCCTAAAATTCAAATTTGAATCTAAAAAATTCTATTTTGTATGATTGATTCCGTAACCAATTCTGATTGAATACTCTTAAACAGTGTCTGAATGATTAATTTAGATGGCGAGTTAAAAATAAATAAATAAATAAAATAAAAATATAAAATACCTATAGGCCTTGTTTGGAAAAGTGTGAAAAAAAAAAAAACCTTACTCGCATCTCCAAACACCACCTCACTCACCAGATCCGTTTACATAGGTGTACGTATACTCTCGTCTCCATTTGATAAAAATTGTGAAGAAAAAAAGCTTGGAGAGAGAAAATGGTGGAGGAAGTAGAGAAATCTTCGTCAGTCACCGAAGAACCAATCATGACCAACAACCCACAAGCCGACGACGACGACGACGGCGAAGCGCCGGAGGAAGGAGAGATCGTCAGCGATGACGACACGTCATCGTCCGCCAAGCCTACGGCGCCTCTAGCCGTTGAATCACACCCTCTGGAGCACTCTTGGACCTTCTGGTTCGACAACCCTTCAGCCAAGTCCAAGCAAGCCGCTTGGGGTAGCTCTATTCGCCCCATCTACACTTTCTCTACCGTTGAAGGCTTTTGGAGGTATATATATTTTTTATATTTCTGTGGATTGATCTGTATTTTGTATCTATTTTGGTCTTTGTTCGGATTCAAAGGGAAAATTCGAGAAATTGAGAGAAAATATGATTGGGTCTTTTAGGAAATTGAAGTTCTTACTAAATTAAGGCAATTGATTGTATGTGGCTTTGTTGATTCTTGAATAATTTGTAAGGGTTCATTACTGAAATTAGGGTTTGTATAATCAGATGATCAATTTTGGGTTTTGCTTTTCCTGATATTAGGGTTTATGTGGTTTAATGGGTTTGTCAGTAGAAATGTTAATTTATGAAATTAGGGTTTGTACACTTTTTAAGGCCTTGTTTGGTAGGTGATGATTTTAGCCAAAAAGTCAAAAAAATCACCAAAAAAAATTTAAAAAAAAAAAAACCAACAAGCTATACCAAAAAGTCAAAAGTCAAAATTCTCTTTTCATAAAAAAAAAAACTAAAAAGTCATCCAAACATACTAAGATAGTTAAAAAATTAAAAAATTAAAAAATTAAAAAAATTAAAAATTAAAAAATAAAATAGCATATTGGAAATAAAAAAAAAAAAAAAAATTACACTAAGATTATAATGACTGTGATTGGGCTAATTTGATTGATTTTATTGATAATATGGGGATCGTACGTTCACACTTATATTGGAGATAGTTTTGTCTTTCTCATGTACCCTTCTAATCACAGAATTAGTCATAGGCTGATATGCTTTGGTTATTTCTATATTTTTCTTATGGTGATGTAATTTATTGGATGCCATGAGTTGACAACTATGTGTTATGGTTGTAGAATAGAATACTAGCCTATTGTGTTCTATTTCCATGCCTGTATAAAAAACGTTGGTGTGCATGTGTGATGAGGGCATTCCCAGCTTGTTGGTTTGACTATTGATAGTATTGGGTCAAAGAATCAGTTTGTGTTCTTATGATTTTGGTCTTCAGGGGCTGGCTAGATTGTTGGGTTGTATTAGTGTCTCTGCAATCATATGCGATTTAGGAGCGTTCCCAATTAATGATCAGTCTAGCATTTGATAATGGTTATGTAAGAATAGATTGGATGATGGACATTACTTTAGCTATAGTGTTTTAGCTGCTAGCACAATCGATAGACGTGGATGTGGCTGCAAGTAGTTGCATGTTGACTAGAGCTTACAACTCAAGCAATATTGTTTATGTAATTTGGAAGAAGATGCTGTATATGGTAATGGCATTGATTAGTGTAAAGGCATAATTGGTTTGTTACATGTGATGTGTACTCTTCTCTACTGTTACAATTTACAGAAAGGGGCCATTGGTTCACTGGTTAAAATTTGGCCTATTAACTTTGAGGTTGGTTTGAATCCAAGGACAACCATTTTGTTTAAATATTGCCAAAGGTTAGGTCTATATCCAATCTAACCCCTCCTGGACTGCCACCTAATGGGGACTTTATAATGTGTACTCTCCCGCTGGTGTTGGACTAGATGGCATTTGACTGTTGACAAGCATAGACGAAATGGGAAACCTATTGAGAGCGGAGCAACTATAATTAAGGGACACAATAACACAGCTTAACTGCTTTAGTTAACTTTGGCGCTGTTTGGGATTCCGAAAATTAGGCTATTATAGCCTCATTTGATTTTTTAGCCCAAAAGCAACACTGTGCATGGATTTTCAAATGGCATGGATTTTAAAAAAAAAAAAAAAAAAAAAAAAAAAAAGAAAATAGGCTGCTGCCGGACAGTGTAGGCTGTCACAGCCGGACAGTGTTGCAGCAAGGGCGAAATTACCATTTTGCCCCTTTATATCAATTTTAAAAAATAAAAAGTTAGGGATAAATCTGTCATTTTAAATTTAAACATCATTTCAACACACTTTTCAATACAATAACTCAACTAAAAAATCATCTCATCTTCCCAAACACAAAAACTAAAATAGCCACAAAAATAGCCAAAAAGCCAAATAGCCTACTAAAATAGCCACTTCCCAAACGAGGCCTTTATTAGGCTCTGCATTTTTCTTAAGCTTAGTAGCTTCTCATCAAGTACGTATATTATTCCTCTTCACTATTACTGATACTAATGACTGAATGATTGGTATTTGTAGACTCCAATTAGGCAAACTAAAGTCAGTTGATAGAGCTTGAGTTGTCTTTATTAGGCTCTGTATTTGTAGATCCCAATGGAAATTTGATGTCATTGCATTCTTAAACGCATATTACACATGAAAGGATCTGAGCAAAGCTCGTTCAGAAGTCCACTGAGCATGCCAGCCAAGCTCAAGCTGCTGTGTCATGGCTTTGATTTGATCTGAACTGAGCTCAAAACTTCCGTCGTATTGTGAGCAGACTAATATTTGGGTTGGCTCGGTCCTAATCTTTTGCATGACAAGAGCCACTTTCCTGGACTGTTGCTTCAATGCAAATCTGATGGTGTAACAATTTTGCTCTTTCAAATTGCGTGATGATATGTAACTTCTTGTTATATAGTCAAAATCTTTTGGTTGTATTGCAGCCCGTCACCATTTGGTTTGGTGTTACGTCTTTTTGAATTTCAGTCCATAGTTCTTTTGTTTGTCCTACATGATTGCTGCTAAGCTGTGCTTTTTCTGCAGCCTCTACAATAATATACACCTTCCAAGCAAATTGGCAGTCGGAGCAGACTTACATTGTTTTAAAAATAAAATTGAGCCAAAATGGGAGGACCCTGTTTGTGCTAATGGTGGGAGGTGGACTGTGGCCTTTGCCAAGAGCAAATCTGACACTTCTTGGCTGTATACGGTATGTACAAACCATAGTTAATCTGTCTGAATTCTAAATTCTAATGTGCCCAGTAATTTTCTGTATGAATTTTTCTATAGTTGCTGGCAATGATCGGAGAACAATTTGATAATGGAGATGAAATCTGTGGGGCAGTTGTCAATGTCAGATCTAGGCAGGAAAGAATAGGTCTGTGGACCAAGAATGCTGCAAATGAAATGGCTCAGGTAGTTGATTTTAAACAAATAAATCTACCTGTTTTCATAAGATTGTTCTGCTAGTTTTGTTAAATTACTTTGCATTATTTATCAAGGCAATGCTCAATGTGATCAGTGATAGAACTGTTTAAATTCATGGCCTGCATAATTGTCAACAAGGAAGATAAAATAAAAGAACTATAGACTTGTTAAACTATCTGAGATTGGGCTGGTCATTGTTAGATTTGAAATGTCCTTTGTTTTTGTTCTTCATGCTAACCAAGTGGGCTGACCTGACAGAGGATTAATGCAATTTTATTTTTTTTTTACTTTCATTTGGCAGTGGACACAAGTTGGTGAACTGTTGTTTTTCCATAGTAAAAAAGTTCTATTGCCATTGTCGTCTTATTTATATCTGAATTGCATATGGCATTTGTGCCATTTACAATGACGATGGAAATGGTGTATTTTTGCATAAAATATTTATATTCGGTTCGCTCCTGTCAACTTATTGTTATGAAATTTCTTCAATTTGTAGTAGGTGTGTTATTAAAAACTTCTCTTTTCAATGACTAAGCATATTTGTGTATTAATGTTGTGCATTTTAGATAACTTAGTGGATGTTAGAGGATTAATTATTCTGTAGTCTTGGAGTACCATATATGCTTTGAATATGATGGTTGAACTTTGCTGCATTTCTTATGTAAGGTTTCTTGTTTCAGGTAAGCATTGGGAGACAATGGAAGGAGTTCCTTGATTACAATGAAGGCATAGGGTTCATATTTCATGTAAGGAAATTTGTTTCATGTGTGTGATACAAGCATATATTTTGTATTTTATTTCTACTTATTCTTGTTTAACACATCCATAGTCGTTAGTGTGCTAACTACTTAATGTTTCTCTTTTGTTTCAGGATGATGCAAAGCTCGACAGAAATCCCAAGAACCGCTACACGGTATAATAACTTTGTTTCCTGGACACCAAGTAGAAGATGCAGTGCTTATGTTTCCTGAACAACTTATGTCTATTTTCTTTGTCACACCTTGCTTTGCGAGATTTTACATGGATTGCTAACTTTTACGGTTGAAAATTGAATATCTGCTTATATGTTAGGGGTGTTTGGTGGGGGCTTTTTTGAGCTAATTTATGATTTCTGGCTTTTAAAAAGTTATTTTGGACTGTTTGGCTAAAACTATTTCAAATAGCTTCTGATTCTAACAACTTATTTTAAGTCAAAAAAGCTGATTCTGAAAAGCTGTTCATTCCTTCCTTCTGATTATCAGTTTTTACTGTAGATATGTTAATTTACGGTTATATTTTTAGATTTTTTTTTTTTTTAAATAGAAAAGACACAAATGGATTATAAAATATTATTATTATTTTTTATGAGAAATGTAAGGAAATAGTGAATAATAAAAAATAAAAGTTAATTGAAAAAGTTATTTCACGGCTTATTTAATAAACATTACTCAGTAATTTAAATCTATAATCCAATAGTTATATCAAACAGATTAATAGTTTTTGATTAAAGTCATAATCTATAATCTGTTAAGTTATAATTTATAATTTATTTTAACATTTACACCAAACGGGACCGTTATATGATGCTAGTACATTTTTAGAGGGCCAGTTTCTTCTAATTTGCAGTTTGAAATTTAATCGTGCTATGTTTCACTGCTCCTGCTGTATAGCTTAATTTTGTATTTGGATTAGGTTAGTAATTAGATTAACGGGGGTGTGTCCAGTCCGTAATCGGACGACGGACTGAATCGTACTATTAGGTCCCGTGGATCCATCATGGAGTTTGTATCGATGATCCGAATCATTCAATGTATAGGGCTCGCTGAGTATTTTATTCCTATAAAAAATCATGTTAAATATCGATAGTCACTTGATTAGATTACATTTTTTTTAATGATTTTTTTTTAAAAAAAAATTATTAATAGAAATGTAATTTAATCAAGTGGCAATTAATATTCAATTAATTTGATTTTCTGCACTGATGAAATGCTCTACAAATCTTATATATTGAATAGCTCGAATCATTGATATAGATTTCGTAATAAGTCCACAGAAGTTTAACAGTACTGAACCAGACTGGAGACAGTCTCGCTCAATTAATAAGCCTTGTTTCGGTCACAGTGAATTTGGATTTTCGAATGTTGTATGTCCACTTGGATTTAAATAGTTCAAAAGATTATTTTTATTGATACAAAAAATCTATAAACCAAATTTAAATAATTCAAAAGATTACCTTGATTGATATGAACAATTTCATAAATCAATAAAATACAATGAGAGAAACAAGTAGAAGTAGCCCATTTGTGTTTTTCGGCTTTTTTTTTTTTTTTTTTTTTTTTTTTGGGAAAATGTGTTTGTAAAATATTTGGATAAGTCTGTGTTCACTTCACTGGAATAAAATAAAAATAAAATAACATTTTTATCAAAATAATTAATATTTGAATCATCAAAAAATTAAAATAGAGAAGCCAAGGATAATCATTTGTTTCTACTATGTTAAGAATGATTTTTATTACAATTCAAATTTTTTAGTAAACCCCAAGTGTCCTTTTTCGGATTATATTTTATGAAAAATTAAAAAATGACAACTTTTCAATGTTTTTGTTTCCTAGAAGACTAAAAAAAACAAAAACACAACTAAAATAGGAAGCTCCCTCCACCTTGTATTAATATATTCCAATATTAACCAAATACAAAATTGCACAATTACATCCCCTCAAAAAAATTACTAATAATAAACAGAGATGTAAGAAAAGTTGTAAGCTCCCTCTCTTAATATATATTCTAATGATGACCCAATACATAATTGTACAATTACATCTACCCTACAAAAAAAATTTAAAAATTTAAAAATAATAATATAATCATTTTACACCCAGCAACTTCTCCCCACAAATTTATACACGAGCAGAGATCTGCAGAAACAAAGAACAAGACAGGTTACCCGATTCATGAAAAGATCTCCCCCTCCTCTCCGTCTCCATTCAAGATCGCCACCTCATCCTCCTCATCTCCCATAAAATCATCTTTCATAACCAAACCTAACTCTTCCAATAGGTTACCAATGCGAAAACCGTGGAGATTGTCAGATAGCGAGCACCTACTAAGCATCTCCAGATCTTTCAAGCTCTCCAAATTGTTGTCAATCTCAACAGTTTTCTCCATCTACATTGTGAGGTAATGTAAGATAAGGTAAATCCCTTTTCCCTATGTAGACTGTTGAAAATATATAAAACACCTCGCACATTAAACAAATTTAAAGAAAATGAAATCGGAAATAAACCTTCTGCAGTGCAAGTCGGGCAGCTTCCCTTTCTCTCTCCCGCTGTGTTTTCATTTCAGCTTCTGCCCTAATTCGCGAGGCAGCTTCAGCTGCTTGGATTTGAGCTTCTATTCTGGCCCTCTCTGTAATAAAAAAATTCAACCAGGGCAAAAGTTAAATTTCTTCAAAATTCAAGGTCAGCTCAGCAACACAAATTTATGAAAGGGTATTCTGTGTACATAAACAAGAAATCACCTTTTCGCTGCTGAATTTCAAGTCTCTCCTTTTCCTGCTGCATTTTCACAACATCAGCTTTATCAACCTGAACAATGAGAACATTCATTAGTAAACCCTTCTCACTCGCGCCTTGAAATTAATCATTCATTTCAGAAAATCAAAAGGCTTTACATGATCTAGAAGTGTCTTCCGTTTTGCTTTCAAGATAGTGTCTGCAAAGCGGCTCTTTAGCATTGCAGCTCGAAGAGCCTTCTTCGGGGATAGTTGTATGTCAATAAGTGGACTCAAACCTAAAATAATCAAAACACCAAAGGTGGAAAGCTTTAAAAATGAGAACATGAATTCCTGAACTGACAACAATAATTCAGATATTGCTGATAGACAAACTAACCTTCCTCAGAAGTGGCAGTGGTAGCTACAGTTGAGAGTTGTGGACTTGAACAAAATTGTTCTTCGTCCAAAGCGCTTAAAGCACCTTCAGATCATTTCCAAGAGCATGTTCATAAATGACCAATGAACAACTGACAAGATATTACACAATACAAAGAGAAACACACCCTCACCATCAGAGTCGGGATCTGATTTGCTCATCTGGGATGCCGACAAGCTTTTTGCCTCACAGACCTAAATTTATAAACAAAGCTCTTAACTTTATTTTGCATAGCATGCAAATGATAACAATAAAATTCATTACATAAACAAGAACCTTAATGTGTACCTTTCTGGAAGCATTGAAATGATCTTGTCCCAGTGATCTTTCTGAAGACAAATCTAAACCAAAGCAAAATGTGATTCAGTTAGTTGACGACTAGAAATTTGAGTAGAGAATCAGCAAGAGGAAATATAACTAACCACTTGAGGATGTGTGGGAAAAATCACGCTGAAGGCTGCATTGGCATCTTATACCGCCACATGAACCACCACATTTGGGGGTGACCAAGTTCAATGGCGGATTGAGGTTAGCAGAGCCACATCTATTACCACTATCAGTGCCTATAAGACACATTGCCAATTAGCTCCCATAAAAAGCCATAAAGCATAAACTTTAATCTGCCACTTCATACCTTTGTGGATGATCTTCCCTAATGATTGTTGCCCAGTAGTTTCTGTCTTCATTGCAGATTCAGCCTGTTCACAAAGTATACACACCTCAAACATATAGCATAGATGAACACAAGCTCCAGCTAAATTAAGATTAATAATGAAGGAAACAAAATCTAAAAGGCGAAAAGTGTATATGAATATGAAATAGTGTTTATCAGACAAGCTGGTAAGCATGCCAAGCTTGCTAGCAGCTGAAGACTAGACTAAAAATCCAAACATAAGCTCTGTGAGCATGATAAGGACATCTTGTCTCTATTCCCATGGAAATTACTTACTTTTACGGCTGTTGCACCCAAATGCAATCCAATATTTCTTTTCAGCTCCCATAAGGTTTCATCATCAAAGGCATCTATATCCATGTCAATCCTTCCATCTCTTTGCTTGAAACCAATCTTTTTAAGGAAACCTTGCAAGTGTGGTGACATCTTTTCCCTTGATACTTCCAACAGCTGTTTTTTCAACTTTTGCTTCACCTCAGCTGGCATTAACCTTTTGGGCAACAAGCTAACATGCACGGAAGACGTTCTATGGTCAGTCTGCTCTGGACTATTGGTATTCTTTGCTCTTTCACTTGATGAATGCCTCTGCTCCACATCTGTGTGCTCACGAGTCCATTTTGCCTCAAAACATTTCCATCTTGTATTAAAGATTTTATTTAGTTCCTTAGCCATGCCATGAACATTGTTAGAAGGAGGATTATACACCATGGCATTGGAAAAGGTCAGCCTGACATCAGCTGCAAACTCTTCAACACTGGAGTATGAGTTGTTCTCCAATTTGGTTTTTATAGTTCCCAAATCCATGGGATCAGAGATAACAGAGAAATAATCAGGAATGTTCAGCTTCACAGGATCAACTGGATGATTGAAAACCCACCCATATCGATGAGTCATCAATTGTTTCAAAATTCCAAAACACTGATGCGTCACACTACGATCGATCTTTCGTCTCTTCTCCTTTTGACCATCCCCCACCTCTGGGAGCCCACGTTTATGAAAGCCCAATACAGAGGGTTTCGACTTTGAGTCATTTGTGTGACTGGAAGAAGTAATCACTAACTTGTGTGATTTATTCATCTCAGAATTCTTATTTTCACTCACACGAATACCGTGACCACATTCATCATTCTGGAACACCCGCTGGCCAAGTTCACAAGATTCTCTCCCGGGTTCAGCTTCAATTCGCCTAGAGACAATTTTGATCTTCAATTTTTTCTTTACAATATTTTCAGTAGCCATCATAGTTGGGAACTGCAAAGACTGAAGAGGGACACCATTCAGATTTCCAGATTGATTCTCAGACACCATAACCATTGTTCTCCTTAAATGAACAACACTGGTAAAAAACAGTGATCGCTTTGGGTTTCGCTCAGAAATAAACCAGCATGATTTGGTGAAAGAAGGCAATGCAACAATCACTGCAAGAAATATCACAAACAATTAGCACCAAAATAACCATTATTATTGCAGTATCAAACACACTGTCATTTATCATGTTTTCATAACTAGTTTCTTTCATACAACAGCATCCTAATGCAACAATCACTGCAAGAAATATCACAAACAATTAGCACCAAAATAACCATTATTATTGCAGGATCAAACACACTGTCATTTATCATGTTTTCATAACTAGTTTCTTTCATACAACAGCATCCTAAAGAAAATTAAAAAAAAAAGAAAAAAAGAAATCAATTTAATAAATGCTCTGCTTACAGTAATGAGCCATATCTAGGATCTAAATTCTAATAAATGCACTTTGAGTGGATAGTGAATAGTTACTTAACCACAAAGAAAAACTTCTAAGTAAAAAGCAGCAGCAAAATCATCAGTAATTCTTTTAACAAACCAACATATAAAATTGATTTTGATAATATAATAAAATAAATTTTGCCGTTAACTAAAACACTAACCAAATCATCAAGCCCAAAAGACAAACCCTAAAACGAATATAATCAAAACCTTAAAGCACAAACATTAATAGCAAATTGAAAAATTAATCAAACCAAATCAGTAAGTTCAATAGAAACAACAATCAAAGCCGTATTCGATCAATCAACAATTCAATCAATTGGGTGTCAACAAAAGCATCTTCAATCAATATCAAACCAAATCAGTAAGTTCAATAGAAACAATAATCAAAGCCGGATTCAATCAATCAATCAACAATTCAATCAATTGGGTGTCAACAAAGGCATCAATCAATCCGACCCAGAACAAAATAAACATGTTACACAAAAATGATCGCTACGAACATGAAAGCTGAATTGTTTTTTTTGCATAAAAAGACTTAGAACTCAAAACTAATAGAAAATACAGAACTTAATTTAGAAAAGATTGGGAGATAGGGTTTAGAGTTCGAAAGACTTACCTAAACCCAATTACAACAGCGAAAAGCTCAAATTCATCGATTGAAGAGAAAACGCCAGTTATAAAGATGATGAGAGAGAGAGAGAGAGAGAGAGAGAGGGGTTTTTTTGAAAGTGAAGTGAGAAAGAGAAGAGAATTAGGGTTTTTCTCGATCTCTATAACGCGGTTTGTTACTGAAATGACTTATTTGCCCCGGGGATAGCGTTGGCGCCAATGTTGTGCACTTACTATTTTACCCTTCCGTCGTTTTAAAATAACCTCTTCTGTAGTACTTAGAGCATCTCCAATGGTTTGCCATTGGAGCTGCCATTGCTATATATAGCAGCTGCCATTGAATTTTGATACTCCAATGGCAAAACATAGCAGCTGCTAAATTTGAGAAATGTCAAAACTTGTGTCAAATTTGACACAAGTTTTGGCAGCTGCCATTCATGCCAACTCAGCCAAAACCAACGGTTTCCCTCCCTCCCTCCTTCCTTCCCTCCCTCCCTTCATGCCAACTCAGCCAATTCATCAAACAGATTCACAGATTCACAGAAAAAAATTATTATCTGTTTGTCAATTTGATTCATCAAACAGATTCAC